TGCTTCCATGCTGGGTGTGAGTATAGCACCACCATGTGGTAGTAGTTGACAATACAGAGTCCCTGTGTCTGTGCTGCAGGGCAAGGCCGCCTGGATGGTGCCCTCTCCTCCTACAAGCAGGCCTATCTTCGAGCTGCCCATGCTGCTGGCATTCGAAACATCGAGATGGAATCTTCAGTGTTTGCAGCCATGTGCAGTATGTGTGGCCTCTGAGGTAAGCGGGCACAGGATAGCCTCGGGGCCTCCTTCTGCCATCTCTGCTCTGCAGGGCAATCCTGAAATCCAGGGTCCCTCCCCCTGCCCCAGCCCAAGATGTTTCTGGCTCTTACCGACTTTGACTTACAAGTCAGTATCTGACCGAGCCCTTGTGGACAACGTCCTGTGATTGTGACAGGACAAAGACTTCCCATAGTACAGAGAAGGTGAGTCCTGAAGAAGATCCATAAGCTCAGATGCAGGCTTGCTGGCTAATAAGGTTCCTTGAGCCTTGGCTTTAAATGCTCTCTGGCCTTTTGAATGTGGAGGTCTTCAATGCAGCTGTCCCTCCTGCATCAAATCACTTTAGCAACCTGTAGCCTTCCAGGCTGTTCAGGACAGCTGGGAGCTGGCCCTGAAATCGACTTGGAAATTTGTTCCTTTTTTTGGGGTGGACTAGGGTGTAAAATCACAGTTTCATGCCTTCCTTTGCCAAGAAGGTGATCTACCAAGTGAGCCATGCTTCCAGTCCTTTTTATTGCTTTACATATATCTCAGATAGGGTCTGGAGTTGTTTTTCCAGGCCAATTTGCATTGTAATCTTCCATCTTTCTTTTAACTGTGATTATCCCAGCGAAACACCACAACCTGTTTGTTGAGATAGGATCTTGTCATTTACTCCATTGGCTTTGCACCAGTTTTATCCTCATGTCCATCTCCCAGGTGGCTAGGATTATAGGCATAAGCCATTGCATCTGGCCTAGTAGGACTTTTCTTTTGGAACGAAGGAAAGCGATGGGTAAGACATAGGGCAAGGTGATTTGTGCAAGGGCAGAGCTTCTAGCGTTCCTGAGCTGGCTGGAGTGCCTTTCCCTGCCTGCTTCATCCACCCATCTTCTGCTGGGTTAGTGTGAGCACAGAAGACTTCCCTAGGGGACACTCAGGCTGAGGCTCACAGCTCCCTGCTCTGTCTGATTCATGTGAATGAAGCTAGGGATCTGGGACTTGGTGTTGACATGGCCTTTGCTTCTGGCAGCTGCTGTGGTGTGTGTCACCCTCCTGGACCGCCTGCAGGGGGACCAGATCAGCAGCCCCCACGAAGTGCTTGCTGAGTACCAACAGAGGCCACAAAGACTGGTGAGCTACTTCATCAAGAAGAGTCTGAGGAAAGCCTGAGGCCCAGCTCTGCTTCCCAGAGACAAGCTGTTGCCAGGGCTGTCCATTAAAACTGGTGTGCAAAGTCCCCTTTTGTGTGATTTGGAGTGTGGGCTCGTGGCCCATGCCTGCAATCCTAGCTACCCAGGAGGCCGAGAGTACATTCTACCCACAGAGCAGGGATCAAATACCCTACTCAACACTACCAAGCTTCTTGAAGACAGGGTCTCACTAAATTTTTTTTCCAGGCTCCTCTGAAAGTGAGGGATCCTTCAGGTTCTCTAACCCCTCAGTCACTGGTTTTAAATTGCTGCCTGGGTACATGCGATTACATGAATGTGTTCAATTTCTATTTCATATCCTAATTTGATTAATTTTGAAGAAATAATAAAATAATTTGTATGTCAGATGGATGGCTTCATGTGTTCATCTATTCTCCAGTGATGGCTTACTATTTAGCAAGGTTACATTAGATGCTATGCTTGAACAGGATGAGATTTCATGTCACTAACTTTCCTTCAGATCAGTCCCATTTAGTTTGGAATCTTCCAATGAAATAGGAGACGGTGCTACTCAAATTTAGTTTGAGCCTGGTGCCAGTGGCTCACACCTGTAACGCTAGCATCTCAGGAGGCTGAGTTTGGTTTCCAGCCAGCCTGAGCAGGATGAGGTGAGACTTGCCGCCAGTTAGCCACCAAGGAAGCTGGAACTTGAGCATTTCACGTGGTAGAGCACTAGCCTTGAGCCTAAAAGCTAAGGCCTAAAAGCACATAGGCCCTGAGTTCAAGCCTCAGGACCAACATACACACACACAAAAAAACCCTGAAACAAACAAAACGTTTCACTACATGCTTGAGTTTCTGTTACGTTAATCTGGCTCATTGTGCATGCATCTTATAATGATTTACTCATAATGTGAGAACAAGGATACTGTGGAGAGCTGAGATCCTCAGGGCTTCAGGATGCTATATGCCAGTTTACAGTAAGACCCTCAGCCTTTGCAACACTGGCCTCCTGGGCCTGAAAACTGCCATCTCCTGCCAAAACACTTCAGCTCATGGCAACCTGTGTGAGCTGGCACAGGCACAACTTTCTCCTTAGCAAGATGGAATACCAATGTCCACTTCACCAGACTGTAGGGAAGACTTTAGGGAAGGTATAAAGGACTTGGTAGAGATCATGACCCACAGTAGCTTCTCAACAGATACCTAGATGAAGATACAGCCATGTTGGCATCCTGGCCTGGTTGTGGTCTCCTTAATCAGAAGGCTTTGCTACATGTTTTCCCCTTTATTTGCCAATATCTCCTGGATCTTTAATTTCTACAGATAAGACTATGAAGGGAATGCTACTTCTTATCTCCCACAGCAAACAATTCAAACCAAAAGCCGGTGGCTTTATATGCTATGTATTTTCACATACTTTTGCAAGAGGAAAAGGGTCTTAAGTCAAATCAATTCCTCTCATGAGCAAACTAATATGTGGAGTTGAGGAACTCTTTTCTCCTACACCTAGACTCTCAATCAAAAATGAAGTATGACCTGAATATCTGTAACTCAAGAATGGTTCATTGGTAGGTAAGGATCTAGATGACACTGTCTTAATAAACATAATTGCAGTGGTGCAGAATCAAAGACTGGTCAGAATTTGTCTTTCTTGTGATTTGATTGCTTTCCCCTTTAAACACTAGGTCATTTTAGCTCTTGTGGACAATTTGCATACATCGACACTCATAACAAGACACTGTCTGCAATGAGGATACAGGCAGGACTTAAATGAGTTTCTTTCCTACCAGTATCTTTTTGGAAAGAAATGACAGAGGGAGGATGTGTTCCTTGATCAGGTAAGAGGAGGGACTAATGTTGTAAAGTGAAACCACTTGGCAAGATGCAGAGAAGCCACATTTTGAGAGGCCAAATTGGGAGTCTTCATTAAAAAGTTGGCATCTGTAGGCAGACTCCTGTCACAAAGACTTGCAGTCCTGTGAATACACTTCACACTGTTAGAAAACTAAGTCGGGAGACCAGAGAAGAAATAAAGAGCAGAAAAACCATACCAACAACCCATATGAACCACAATGGAGGCCATGTTGATCAGAGGAGAGTCAGGATGTGGACACAGCACGAGGCCTGGCTTAAAGGCTTCTGAGCTGTCTGCCCTAAAATAGTGTCACGTCAGGGGACAGGGCACAGGAAAGTTCAGAGCACGGTCCAGTAACACATCATCCAAGTCCCTACCCCTGCCTCTCCCAATTCAGGCATGCCCAGCACCTGGGGGGGGGGGGGGGGGAGTGGGAATTCCTCTTCCTTCACCTGGAAGTCAAGATGGCCCCAGTTAAACCCAGTATGCTATCCACTATGTGGCCATGATGGCACTGGTTAGACCCAGCATCCCTACTTCACTAAGATGTCAGATTGAGAGAACTGCAGTTTTGACTCCAGCCTGGGGAATCAATTCTGGGGCTCTTGTTTTCACACGGTTTTAAACACAAAGGGGGTCAGGTGGAGGTGGACTGACCCGCTGGGCAAACTCAGTGATGCTGAACACTATCTTTAAAAGCTGGAGTTTATTGGATGGACAGACTGGTGCTAACTCAACTTGGGAGTAAGCAGCCCCAAACTCAGGTAGCTCAATGTTTATAAAGGCAAAACATGCATTCTGTTAAGAGTAGGTGCAAGCAAGCTGGTGTAGAGAAGTGAACCTTAGCAGTTATTTTGCAAGTGCATAAACCACAAACATTTCTGTAACAATTAAAACCACAAAAACCTGGGTAACAATCTCGTGACCTCTACAGGACATGTTCTATGAAGGATTCTAGGTGCACAGCCCCTAAGTTCCTTGCTGGTCATGTTTGTCTGCTTGGCCTGCTGGGCATTTTGTCCACTGAAACTTGGGGATAGTGAAGGAAAAATAAAGGTGAAATGCTCTTGCCATGGCTGCTATCTTCAACTGTCTAATGGAACAAAGCTGACAAGTCTTCTTCCAGTAACCGGAATAAGTGCCCAGGAGGGCAACTATAGAAGAATTATTTGATCTCAGTGAAATGATGGGTGAAGAGGATTTATATTACCTAGGGCTCTGGCATTTGACTGATTATGTTCTGTGATGTCACGTCATTTCCATGTTTCCCTTCCTCAGTGTACTTAGGGATTTAGGCAGGTACTTGCTTTGGAAGAACTGTGATTTTGGTGTGACTGTGTTTAGCTCTTTGTGCAGCTCAGGGTCTCCCTCCCTGGAGCACTGCCCTGGGTCTGGTGTGGCCTCACTTTGATTTTCCTCCAGGGTCCTGCAGTTGTGCATGGTGACTCCAGTCCCTCCCAGCACATTGAGAGTGGATTCCCTGCCTGCACAGAAGCCAAGATCAAGGCTGTTGCACAGGAGACGTTTCAACACTCAGATTTCAAGGCTTGTGGAATGGGCCACAAGAACCGTGAGAACACTTCCAAACCTAGCCCCGAGCGGGACCTGTTCTTCCTCATTCTGCAAAAAATGACCTCCAAGCCTGAAAAGATTTCATCTTCAAGTAGGATATGTAGAAGTCTCTGCCATTAACTAAGGCAAAGAAAGAAAAGCACTCACAAAAACCATGTTATTGCTGAGAAATTATATAAACAGACTATTAGTGTTTCAATTTAATCTTTTACTGGAAATCAGCCAAAATTGTGGCTGATGAAAGGGCAGCCTAGGATAGAGCCCCATGCCCAGCTCAGCGGGAGATCTGGGGGCTCAGGAAAGGCAAGATGCCCAAATCTTCTCTCCTCCTTGTGCAAGTGTGCACAAGGCTTGGGTGAGCAGCCCCAGTGCACGCTGGGTGTATGGCTGCCAATCCCACTGCTGAGCTGCTCACAGGTCTCCAACTGGGAGCTGCTGCTATTGCTGCTGGGCTCTCTGCTTGAGGCCTGGGAACTGAATAGAGGGACTGCCTTAATTCCAGGGCTTCTCTGAGCACACAGGGCTGTCCACACCCACTGCCCCTAGGCCTGAGGCGGCCTTCCTTATTCTGCTCACATCCAAGTAGCCATTTGCCCAATCTTCTGAGTGAGGTCCACCATGGGACCCCAATGAAGAAAGTGAGGTGGGCAGAGCTCAGGCCACACCAGCCAGACACAAGGGGCTGTGTGGCAGGAGGTGGGAGGGCAGCCCCAGCTCATTGGGCTGCCTGTCCCACCACCCAGTCCCTGGGGAGTCCCTGGCCCTGCAAGCCTATGTACTTACTTTCCTGAGCGCTTCCTCAGGGGAGGGCTCCTCTTGTTGTTCCAGCTCAGGACAAGTACCCGGCGGGGAGGCTCCAGCTCCCTGGATAGCTTGGAGCTAAGACAAGAAGTAGCTGGTTGGACAGCAGGCTCCACCCTGGGGGTTCCCTCCCAGGGGCCCTGGGGACTCAGGAGCTCATACACCCTTCCTTCAACAGGTCTGGTGGGAGGCTGACTCAGACAACAGGCTCTCATGGACTGGTGCTGGGGATTCCCATGTTTGTTGCCCCCACTGCCTACCCCAGCTCACCTTTCCAACTCATTTAGGCGGTTCATGTTGTTAAACCAAGATACGAAGTTCATGTCAGGAACCACCTGGAGCTCCTGACATGAGCCCTGTAGTTCTTTCATTAGTGCCATCACCTTGAATTCCTGGTTGAGAGAAAGGACACAGTGGTGATGGACCTGGACCAGGGCAAGGTAGGCCAGGCAGCTGACTTCGGGTCTTCACTTGGCTTCACTCTTGTCTCTCCCCAACACACTCGCCTTTCTCTACTGAGATCCAGTGCCCAACCCCAGCACGCTGTCCTAGATCCCCAGCTCAAGGCCCCATCTCCTGACCTCTGGAGGACAAGTGATGTGACCATCCACATCAGAGGGAAGGAAGGACCTAAGGGACCCGCACAGCTGGCTGCCTGCAGAGGAAGGTGTCATTTTCTCACCTCTCTTCGCCTTTTAATATTCAGCCAGGAGCCCTGCAAAGCAAAGAATATGTGCTAAGAAAATGCTGTTTCCACTTGGCGCCCTACCAAGTCCTTCCAGCAGAGGGCAGGCTGGGTGCACAGCTGGACTAGGATTGCTCTCAGTTTAGGGCAGGGAGGCCTAGGTCCTGAGGACAGGGAGCTCACTGCTCAACTCTCTGTGCACATGGCAGAGACTTGAGGCTTCCAGTGACAAGGCCATGCTATTCCCACATGCTATGTCAGCTTGAGCACCTGCTGTCACACTGCCACCCTCACTGACCTCCCTCTGAGACATGGCCAAATGTCATCAGCAGCACTGAGGTCTGGGGGCATAGGGCATCAGAAGTAGCATTGCTGTGGGACTCTGGGGCTGGGGAGGACACGGGCTCTTGCTGGAGGTCAAGGGGCAGCATGAGGCTCTTTGTCCCCACTCTGCTTTCCCAGGGCTGGGCCCCTGTTCACTCACATCTTTTGAATGTTTGTCTTTGTGCAGTGAGGCCAGGTGAGTGAGGATGGTGCCCAGGTAAGGGACTGTGCCCTCGGGATACTCCTGTGGCATTGGGTGGAAAAAGATCAGAAGGGTCTTCTTAAGCTTCTCCCAAGAAACCCAGACTTAACCCAGCCCCGTGAAGCCATGTGCCTAGCAGAACTTGGAGAAGACAGGTTCACTCCTCAATGATCCACCCTCTACCCCATACCAAAGACACAGGCCTGAGTGGGGAAATCCATCTGGCCTGGTCCCCTCCAGGGCTGACACTTGACACCCATGCAAGGTCTGTGGCCCTGCCCTTCACCTGTTCCTGTGCTCTTGCATTCCTTACTGTGGTGGCTGCAATGCATTCCTGCAACATGCCATCTGGGGCAATAAGGGAGTGGGCCAACTGGTCGGTTGTGTTGGGGGAAGCCCCTCAACTCCTTCTAGGAAGCCCCTGGTCTCAGGCTCGCACACTACTCACCAGTTGCTGAGGCTTCCTGAGGCCTCTCTTGAGTTTCTTCCAGAGGGTCATGTGTTTGGCCTCTTGCCTCTGGCAGCATTGAGCATGGGAGTAAAAAGCTTTCATTCTCTAACCATTCAATCTTCCAGAGTCCCTTCTTTCCATGGGGTGTGACAGCTTTGGCTTGGGCCTTTAGATCTCAGGCTCCTTGTGACCATCAGCACTGTAGCCCTGGGCAGGCTAGAGAGCCTGGCAGGGCCTGTCTCCAGGGTGGATGTGGACATTTGCGTGCCCTAAAAGATGTTTCTGTGGCTGCCTGGTCTGGAGGAACCCGCTGACCCACGTGACTGGCAAGGCTTCCCTCCTGGGATGGGAAGGCCACACAGAAACCAAGCCAGGGCCTGGCTTGGCGGTGCCAGGCAGGCAGGTTGTAGAGAGGCAGCCTCATCACAGGCCACACTCAGGAGGAAGCTTGACAGGAAAGTGGACATCCCCAATCCTACCACTTCCTCCAACCTCCTCAGGCACCCAGCTTGCCTCCTCTTCCACTCACTCCATTGGGTCCCCAGGGGCCTCCTGTTCCCCATACAATCTATCCTATCCCCAAGCCCATGATGGATGCTTCTAGACAAGCTCTGTTGGATACTCTCCTAGAATTCCATCAGAAAGCAAATCCTCGCCCTCCCTCCCTGGACCAAAAGTTATTCCGGGGCTCATACCACCTTGTACACCTGCTCGTGGCAATACATCTTCTTCAGCTCCTGGAACGTCTTTAGACTCTCCCTGGAGGAGGGGCAGAGACAAGGTGACAGATGGGAGAGGGCGAGAGAGGGGAGGAGTGTGAATGCATTGCCCATTTGGGGGCAGGACTTCATCCTAATGGGAACAGAGCTGTGCAAGGAGATCCACTGTGATCCTAAGGTCACATGGTTTGGAGCCAAGTCTTGAGGGGAAACCTCCAGTTTCACCCCAATTTCCAGTGTGGTTTTGTTTGGAAGAGCACTGCATAGACAGATGTGGGTTTGTTGTGTCCGAAGGAAAAAGTATGGCACAAAAGGAATCCCAACCACACAGGCAAATCCTAAGCAAGGTCATAGGTGTCTGAGTTGGGCAGAGCCGCAGTCCCTGCCATGGGGAATTGCCACTGGGCTCCCAGATGAGGGACGCTAGGCCGAGGAAGCAAGGGTTGCCCAGGACAAAGGTGCACCCACCTGCCAACCAACCCCCACGTCTTCTTCAGGCCTTGGAGCTGGCTGCTCTGCAGAGCACACGTGATGGAGACGAGGGTGCAGCTGTTCTTCAGAAGGTGGCACTCCTACGGGTGAGGAAGGGGTGAGGTGAGCTGTGGAGGGAGCTCCTTGTGATCCTGCTTTGGCCCTGGGGCTGAGCCTTTGTTCCTGGGCTGAATGCGGAGAGCATAGGGGAGAGGGTGGAATGGCAGTGGAAGCAGAGCAGGAGTGCACACAGTGCAAGCCAGGGCAGAGCACAAGGAGGGCTTGAGGGTTCAGGCAGTGGCTGTGAGTGGGCAGGCAGCACCTGGTGAGTGTGGGAAAGAGCAGAAGGGTATCCTGCGCATACCAAAGCTACGTCTATCCAGTGCTCCAACACCTGGGCCCTCTCTGCTGCCTCTGTGCTGTGGTCCCCGAGGCATGTGCTGATCACACAGGTGTGCAATTTTTCACAGTGCTCCAGGATGGCCAGCACAGTGGGTGCCAGGTGCTCCAGACCCTCCTCCTGGTCCGGTTGATAATATATATAGCTCAAGCATTGCTCAGGGATCAGCCCTTTGAACAGCTTCTGCAGAGAGGAAACAAAGGGTCAGCGTGACTCTGCCCTGAGGCAGGTGTGGCAGTAGAGGTGCAAAGGAAAGCCCGCATGCCCGCCCTGCCAAGCTACTCACCACCGCCATGAGGGACAACTGCTTCACCTTCAGGTCGGGCAACCGCTCTAGCATGTGAGCTGTTTCCTTTTTATGGTCTGACTCCCTGGAGGAAATCTGCACATCCCCCATGTCAAAACACTGCCAGGGATCTGAGTCACTATCTGATTCAGCTGGCCTGTCTTCCTTGCAAGCAGGCTCTTGCTTGGCAACACCATTTGTCAGAACACCATTGGTGTCTTCAGCTACTTCATGGAGATCAGCTACTTCGTGCAAATGAGTAACTGGATCAGAGTCCCCTCCTAAGCCTGCGTCAGCGTCCAGCTGTGCAGATGGGACGGGTGCTACATCCGGGTTGGGCGGCAGAGGCTCCTGTGCGGGTGGCTCTGGCTGCTCAGCAACAGGCTCAAGGCAGCCAGCCTCTCCAGCAAGCGGGCAAGATTCCACTTGCTCCCCAGGTATAAGGAGAGTAGACTCCCATCTTTCCTCTCCTGCAGCCTCTAGCTCTGGCCCTGAGCTGTTCCCTGCAGTGGGCTTTGAGGCCTCTGGTTGAACTGCATATGCTTCTCCTTGGCTAGGTGGAAGAAGTGGGTCAGCCTGGCTTTCAGACACCTGGGGTTCAGGAGTGGGCACTGATATCCCCTCATCAGTCACTGGCCCTAAAGCCAGTGGACTAAGTTCCTCTGCCACTGGGGGAGCAGCCACTTTTTCTTCCCCTGATAGGGGATGTGGATCATGTTGCAGACCAAGATCCAGACTTGGTGCTGGTGACAGTGCAAGGCTGTGGGCCATTGGCTGACCTGCAGGTGGCTTGATTTCAGTGAATGATGGTGCAGGCGAGTCACAACATCTCTCAGCCTGGGATTCTTGCTGGAGCTCCACTGCAGCTCCTGGAGCTGAAGAGGCCTCTGAGGCTGCAGCTAGTTCCAGCTCTGACTGACATGGTAGTCCTGCTTCTACGCAGGGTGTTGGATCCAGTTGTTTAGATGCCAACTGCCGTGCAGTTGGTGGAACAGCTGCAAGAAAAGATCTCCTACAGCACTGCCCTCCCCTCAGTCATTCCTAAATAAATGACACTCCTGCCTGCCTAGGAAGCTCCTGTTCCTGGACTCAACCCCAGGAAGCCTAGCAAGGACAGGTTTCATGCCAAGCCATCCAGGCTCCTGGACTGTCCTGATGAGGGCACCATGGTAGGCTGGGAGCTGCCTTCAGGTGGAGAAAGCTTGGAATCCCCCACCTGTTCTGTCCTTTGCCAGCCCATGCTACTCACCCTCCAGCTCTGGCTCCTTCAGATGCATGTGCTCCAGCTGGCTGAGCAGAAGATGGGCCTGCTGCTCCTCCACAGAGACACAGTGTGAATAGGTTCCCAGGTCTTGCAGGCAGGACGTGTCCGGTGCTTCAGTGCAACACTCTGGGTATACCCTCATCCACGAGTCCAATATAAAAAAGGCTCTAGATGTAGTGGGGGAAGCAGCAGAGTCAGAGGCTGGGCCTCTCCTCCTCTCAGAACCCTCTCAAGCACAGCTGTGGGAGCTGGGCTCCTGGGCCTACTCCTGCCTATACCCCATGGCAGACCTGGTAACCTGGCTGCACTGCAGACATTGTCTACACAAGGGATGCTACTCCACCTACATCACAGTGAAACCCACCCCACCCACACCACCTCCTAGTGTCCCTGGGCATGCCCCCAAACAGTCATCCCTGGGATGCTTTGTCCTCATGCATAGTGTCTCGAGAACCCAGAATGCCGTCACTCAGGTAGCATCTAGTGCCCTCTATGACCTAGAGCCATGTGTGAATGGTCTTCGCCTGACTCTCAACCAGGGCACATCCTGGCCCTTGTGCACTCACGGAGGCCCCTGGAATCCTGGAGGATTGTCCATGATGACACACTGTAGGCCTCCCCGTTCTGTGTGGTCCTGAGGTTTCCCAGGGCAGGCACGTGGGACTGCCTGGTCATGGTGCCAGAAGCTTCTTCCACCCTCCTCAGGCACAGAACAAGCCAGACTAACTCCCTACATGGACACATTTCTACCTGGATTTGAGTCTTCCTTCAGGAATGGCTGCCATTTCCTTTGCCCAGGCCTCTCCAAGGCCAGCTCTCCACTGCACCCACTCTGAAGACACATGCCTTCCCTCCTCCCCCAGGCACACTCACTGCTGCAGGTGCTCCTGCGCGCCTTCCTTCTTCTCATTGTCACGGGAATGGCTGTATCTAGGGGACACCATGAGAATGTCAAACATACTGTGTCTGCACATGATGTCTACAGTCCCAGTGGTTTTCCTGAGCACAGGATGGAGCTCAGGATGACAAGGATTTCCCTGTTCTTTTCACTGAGTGGTTCCAAGTGTCTTGAAATGGGTCCCCACACAAGCTGATGAGCCCACTAGCTTCCTCCCATACACCTGAACGGGCAACGGGGCTGTCAGCGTTTCCCTTGGGCTTCCTAGTGAGGTTCAGGTAGTTCAGGACCCCTAGATGGAACATATACCACCATTGTGAAGTTGGAAAATAGTTTGCTTGCGGTCTCAGCCATGTGAGGCCTCGATGTAGAGAAGGGGGCCTTCATGAGGGAAGGGGCTTCTCCCAGCTCTGCCCACAGCCCTCGCTCCCCGGGGTGTAAGGTCATAATGTGGACAGGCCTGTTCAGGGCCCATCCCACTGCTCCAGCCTCAGGCAGCGAGGATGTTGGTCCTAGCATGCCAGTAGCCAGGATCCAAGCAGATCCGCATTAGTGCAGCACATGCCAAGGCCTAGCCAGTGGGCCCGTCCCAAGGATCAGAGGTGGCGCTTACCTTTTATACAGCAGCTTCAATACGTGATGGGCAGTCCTGAAAGTACTATATGCCCCCAGATAAACAGGAATAAACACGGCAGCTCCGAAGAGCAGGGCAGGCACTAAGTGGTCTACTAGCTTCTTCACTTTGCCTCCCTGCAGGTATCCTGCCTTGCAGGGATCAGGAAGGGTGGGGGCTAACACCCACTGTAATTGCTGTGAAGAAATGAGACAGAGTTCAAACATGGAAACAGCAGCAAAACAGCAAATGTCTCTGGGCCATACAATGAAAATAGTCTGGGGTGCGCGCACACACACACACACACACACACACACACGTATACACACCCCACTCCAGAATGTCAAACACACATGGGATCTGAGGCCGCCAGAAGGTAGTAGGTGAGGGGACTCACTCTTCCTCCACACCCTCCCTCCTCCTTGATTCACCTGTGGGATGTAAGGTGTTCTGCTCAGGCGACCGGGACAGGGGATGACCCATCGCCTTCTAATTATTTCAAAGGCTTCCAGTGGAGTTGTTCTGCGGAATAGTGGGCAGCAGGAGAACATCCTGCTGCCCCTCAGCTTTCCATACAACTCAGCTGGCTCAGCCGCACAGCATCCCTAAATACTGCCTGGTGCTTTGTGACACCTCTGGAGATGACAGCATCAATAGGGGGCCCCTCTGCTGAGCCTCAGCCTCAGACCAGACCTCTGCAAATGGCCCCTGGGTGCTGGCTGGGCCCCGTGACAAGTCAGGAGCAAAACTAGGCACACTCCACATAGATAACCAACCAACCTCTGTCCTCTGTCCAGTTAATGTCGTGGTAATGAGGACCACTTACTGGGTTCACACCCGATCCCTCCTTCCAGTTTGTCTCCCCATGTACAAGTGCCTGTGCTTGCCTGCCTCCTCCAGTCACCCACTCACTCCTAGGGCTTCCACCCAGCACCTGCTTGAGGATATCATACACTGAAAGGACTCTGTGTCCATCCAAGGCTTGGGAACCCTACAGCTGGTGTCAGTCTTTTTCACTGCACTCTTGTAGATGTTCAGCCCCTGCACATGGTGTCTAGACAGAGAATAAACTGCCAACCAGTTGTCCTTGTCTAGGCCACTTATTCCTGCAGTGGGAGCCTCCTGGAGGAGGATACCAAGTTCAAGGCTAGTTTGACCTAGGCAAGAGATTCTGCTTCAATCCATGTAAGACAACAATGAACAAAAGAAACAAAAAGGAAATGCAAGATCTGAGCTTCACATGGGGGTGGGAATTTCACAAGTGTAGACACAGACGAGGTCTTCTCTATTTGGAAGCCTACGCATGAGACTCCAATGTTCAACACACCTATTGAGAGAGGTACACACATGACCTCACATACATTCATGGACACAACACGGATACACATTCATCCACAAAGACACAGTGGCACACCTCTATGTTCATCCGTGTATGTCCTCAAATGCATGCATTGGAGTGAGATGGTGAATTCAACTCTGCCGCCTGCCACAATGTTTGTGTGCTAATGAGAGGATGGGTGAAAGGTGGGACGCTGAAAAGAATGGGCTGTTTGTTCAATGTCCAACAGGATTTGAGGCCAATCTCTGGGCTCATTCGTTGAGGGGTGAGGACATGGAGAGGTACTGATTTCTGCACCATGTTCACTGAGGAAGAAGTAGAAAGGGCACTCAGGATCAGGCTACTGGCAGGAAATGAGTGCTACTGAGCTCCTAGGGCTGAGATTATTCTGGGGCCATGGAGCATGTGGAGAGTAGTTAGAGAGGGGCTGAAGCTTGGATGTGGAGTTTGTTGGTGTGGAGACATATGGAGATGGGAGGCCTTCACTTTTCAAGCCACAGGGAAGTGGACAGGAAGCGCCTCCACCAAGGGGAATCCTGGCAGGGGAGGGAAACCCTTGGCGTCCTTCTATAGATTCCTAGGTGCGCCCTGCCCAGTCTGCTACCTCTCCTTGGTGCTATTGTCTACCTAGCTCAAGATGTCACAGTCAGCTCTGAGGATGGTAATTTATACTCATTGGTATTGTTCACACATGTAGGCCAAGAAGACTGGCTTCAGCCCAACTTAAGAGTCATGTGCGGGCTTTTTCACAGGACATGGAGGCCAGAGTTTCCTGCCAGAGTTTTCGGCCACCCAGCAGAAGCACCTGAGGAAACCCTCCAACACGGTGTCTGCCACCACCGCCAGGACCATGCTACTGATCCTGCTGACCATGGCGCCGATCCTGCCCTCTATTCTGATGTCACAATGCCTGGCTCCCTGCCTGCTCTGAGGAAGTGACCACTGTGTAAGGGCTGCAGGTAGAATCCCGGCCTATGACAAATGATGTGATGCACTTGTTCTTATTATTTTATACTACTATAGACTCAATCTTTTTAAATTTCCCAAAGCTAGTATACCAATGACAATGCTCCACCTCCCAGGCCGGTGGGGAAGAACTAAGGGAACCAGGAGTGTGGCACAATCAATTCAGCTCCACCATGGGAAGTACTTGCCTTGCCCCACCTCCAGGGCCCCATTCCCAAATCTCACTCCCACAGCTGGCAGCAGCATACTCATCCTCTCTCTTTTTTTTTTTATTGTGAAAATACTGTACAGAGGGGTTACAATTACATGGGCAAGATAATGAGTACATTTCTTATCAAGCATTGTAGCCTCCTCCTTTGTTTCCCCTTCCCATCCCTTCCCATCCTCCCCCTGCCCCCCCCAATCCTCCCTGCCCCCCCCACCAAAGTTGTAAAGTTCGTTTTTGACATAACGACTTGTACTTCTCATTGTTGCGATGGGTCCACCTCTATCCCTATTTAAACGACTTGGTTTTCCCCTTCCCCTCCACAAATTATACCGACATCAAATACAGTGAAAGCACGGGTTATGCTGTGGGGGAGGTACACACTTAATCCAGAAATTTATTACTCAATTCAAAACCTCTTAGACTTAAATTTCTTAATAGCCGTACTACCTCTCTATACTTACACAATATTTTAAGTAGTTTTATTTTTAAGTTTGTCACATCTCCTTTATATCCCTCCCCTTTTCTCATCATATCCACAATCTTCTCTGAATATTTCATTTTCAAATATGTATAATTTTTAAGCATTGCTATGTTTAATTTTTAATTTTTACTTGTCTATTTTTTTGGGTCTCTTTTTTCCCCCTTTCTCTTTCTTCTTTTTTCCCCTCTCTCTCTTCTTTCATCCTATCCAACGTATTTCCTGCTTTGAGAGTAGGACTGTTAACTCTCCCTGTGCCTTCCCATATTTCTCTACTCCTATTTTTACCCACACCTCTCCCTAAACCTAATAATTTCTGGTTTGCCAAATTCTTCTTTGCCCATTCTTCGTAGCCCATTAATATATAGTTGTTTGATGCTGAATAGATGTATCTGTCGAACTAGACTGTATCTGCAGACTATTGACTGTGCAAATACAGACTTTGGTTGATGCTTGCCTTAGGATAGTGTTCTAGCACAAAACTGGTGTTATTTTCATCCCAAATGGGCAGAGTAAGCCAGAAAAACACAAGGAAAATGGCAAGTCCGGGTATCTCAACTCCCACTCATGATAATCAGGGGACAGAACAGATAATGAATAATCCAGAGGAGAGTTCCCAAATAGCTCTATAAACACTGCTGGCAAACATGGTAAATGAAAAGATTGAAAACATACAAAGGACTCTGTATGAGCGTGATAGGGAGAGAGAGGAGGCAAACCAAAGGTTTATACAGGAATATCATGAGCGTGAGGAAGCTACTCAAAAACTGATACAGGATTTGCGAGAGCAGTGAGAACACTCAAAGAGAAAGGCAGGAATGGCGTGAGCAGGCTGAGAACACTCAAAGAGAACTACAGAAATGGCCTGAACGTGAGGAAGCTAAGCAAAGAGAAATACAGGAATTGAGAGAGCAGGATGAGAATACACAAAGAACACTAAAGGCATTCATGGAATCCACTAACAAAGAGCTGAAGGAAGTCAGGGAGACCACAAAGGGAATGCTGAATGGAACCCAACAGAAGGAATGGGAGTCCAAGGAAACCATAACCAATCAACTAAGTGATTTGAGAACAAACACTGAACACCAAATTAAGGAAATAAAGAAGCTCATACAAGATCTAAAACAAAGCTTCAACAAAGAATTTGAAGCCATCAAAGCTGACCAATTAGAAGGAAAAGAAATAAAAAACAAAGTAGAAAGTCTTGACAGCAGGTTAGACCATGCAGAAGATCGAATCTCGGGGATTGAAGACAGCCTAATATTATAGAGAAAGAACATACAACCATCCAAGACAAGTCCAAGAAATATGATAGATCTATCCAACACTTGGAAGACACCATCAGAAGGCCTAATTGAGGATAATGGGTGTAGAGGAGCATCTAGAAACAGAAGTTAATGGTCTAGGAAATTTGTTTAACAGGATCCTAGCAGAGAACTTCCCAAACATGCAAAAAGATAGGCCTATTCAGATACAAGAAGCTTTTAGAACCCCAAATAGACCAGACCAGTATAGGACATCCAACCGTCACAGTATAATCCACACAGGATCAATTCAGACCAAGGAAAAGATCCTTAAAGCTGTCAAGGAAAAAAGATTAATCACCTATAAAGGGAAACCAATTGGAATCACCTCAGATTTCTTAGCAGAGACAATCAAAGCAAGAAGAGCCTGGAATGATGTATGCCATGCCCTAAAGACAAACAACTATCAACCAAGAATACTGTACGCAGCTAAACTCTCCTTCATAACTGAAGGCCAAATAAAAACCTTCCATAGCAAAGAAAAATTGAAACAATATATCTCCACCAAACCACCCCTACAAAAAATTCTGAAAGATGTCCTACACATAGAAAACCAACAAGACCACAATAAAGGCCAAGAAACCGCACCCAAACTGAGAATCCAAGAACCATAGGAGGAACCCAGTAGCTGCAGCCCCCAAGAAGGTGGATTACATGGCAGGAACTCCCAAATACCTCTCAGTCCTATCTCTCAACATTAACGGACTTAACTCTTCAATTAGTTAAGACATAGCTTGTCTAGCTGGATTAAAAAAACAAGATCCTCATCCTCTTTCTCCAACATGTTTAATGGAAAGAATGGAGGCAAGCAGCTGAGAACATCCAACTGTGATGCAGTGCTGGCGGTGCCCACCGCTTCCTCTCCTACTTCTCCAAACAGCAGCAGCTCTAGACGCCCTCTGCCAGCACCAGGCAGTGCAGGACATGCTTCCTTTCTGCAGCCAGTCCCTTCTCAGAGACCTGCCCCGAGAACTTCTGCACAAACAGATCTTGCTCATTCTGGAAAATGACCTCGGTGACACCTCTATTTGGTACATTCTCCAGGGATCAAGATTTGAAATGGAAGCTTAAATGTCTGTTTTCTGGAAGCCAGGTCCTTTCTCCTCAAGCCAGGTTAGCAGATTGCAAAAAGACAAGAGTAAGCCTCATTTTAGACAGCGCATGGTGGGGAGCAGGTGGGGAGGCTGGCCCACCTTCTACAGACATGGCCTCACTGTGCACCCAGCTTCCTTCCTTGCAGCGGTGGATCAATGTGGTCACTCAGTGACATCCAAATGTCCATCACACTGCAGGCCATTGTGAACTGTGTTTCCAACTTTGCTGCCATCTACTCTTGACATATTTGGCCCCTGGATAGCAGAATGGACTCAATAACTTTTGTGGAAACAAGTTTGTCATTCAGGCCTTTTCTTCTGTGATCATTCTGGGCCTTGATCTCAGGGTCTGGGCACTGTCTCTAAGCCTATGTACTGAAGGTTAGGTTAGTGCTCTCTATCACTTCAATACAGCTCCACATATGGCTCTTTTGGTGTTGATTTGGAAATAACAGTCTCCTGGACTTCCCTGCAGGCACAGGGTTCAAATGGAGTCTTGAGAGCTCAACCACCTGGATAGCGAGAATTTCAGAAGGAAGCAAAGCCACCAGTACCAGGCTGGTCAGGACTTTTTACCTGGCATTTTACTGATCCTTCCAGGGGGTTCACACAGGGAAGACAGGCAATCCAAGTACCACCTGCAATTGGTGCAAATTTCTTCATCGCAGTGTGAGCAGTTGGTGAGGAAGAATTCTTAGTGTTCTTCTCCTCACATTCTCATGACTCTCTCAACCCAATCATGCCAGAAAATACCAACTCTTGGGTCCAAAGCAGACCCCTTTGTTTCCATTCTGTTTCCCACTGAAACTCACATGAGAGCTCGTGAAAACCTACAATCCAAGTAGGAAAAACGTCAATTCTCCAAATTGTGACCCCTTTCTGTGGGTTGTTTCTCTCCGGATAGTAGGGAAGAGCTGTGATGTGTGCCTGTGCAGTAGTGAGAACATTTTCCTAGGTAAATTCTGTCCTAAAGGAAGGATCTGGTCCATTCATGATCTGAGTGTGTACGGCAACTGATGCCATCCAGTCCCACAGAGCCAGGCCTGGGCTCACTGAAGGGGCTCCTCTTTGGCATCACTCAGGAATATTTACAGATGCAAATATTCCCCAACCAGGGCACTGACAGGTCATTCTTCTCTTTGCAGGAAGCTGTCCAACCACATCCACACCTGTGTCAGCATGTCAGCACCTGTCTGTAGGCATGGCTGAGGTGGCCATTTTCGAGCAAGTCCTGAAGAACCAGGCAGAGCACAGGCCTGAGATCGTCCTTCCACAGCATCCTGAGGACCTAGACACAGGTGTTTTTGTCACTACTTCTATACTGGATATTCACATGAGTTGGTCTTGAACAAACTCTGAATGCACACTTTTACAAAATTTAAGCACAGCCACTGAATTAGGAGGGACTAGGGTTTGGGAGTAAGTGCAGGCAACACATCTTCCCTATGGCATGTGAGGACTGTGACAAGGTGCAGACAGTACCACTGGTGGTCTGTACTTGTTTCTGTGTGCTTCCAGCATGGCTGGGGAGAATGCACACAGCGTGAGGGCTGAAGAAAGGCAACTGAGGTGAATTGCAGAGCTTCTATCAGTTTGTGATTGAGTAGGAAATGTAGACTTGGTCCTTTGCTTGTGGACCTAGCTGGGGGAGGTACTGAAACCTTAGCAGTTCCGTCCTAGTACAATAGGCCACTGGGGGCATGTCTGGCCATCCCTGCCTGTACTGGAAGCCTGCTTTGGCTGCATGAGGAAAGCAGCCTCTGTCATTGCTCACTCCTGATGCTATGATGTCTGACTCACCACAAGCCTATCACAACCGAGCCTGGACTGAAGAGGCCGGAAGCCAGCCAAAACACACCTTTCCTCCTTGAAACAGTTTCTCTCAGTCACTTGTTATAGACAAGGAAAGTCTAACCACTTCCTTGTGAAGTCTCTTACCTGCTGAGTCTCAGTTGCCCCTTCAGTGAATCAGTACAAAGACTGAGTCAGAAAATACTGGAAAAGGCCAGGCCATTCTGGGGCAGGGTAATATATGAGGATCCCACTTCTGGGCATTTACCCAAGTGATCACAAACAAGGCCATAGTAAAGCTACCAGCACAACTATCTTTATTGCAGCATTATTCATAATACCTAAAATATGGAACCAACCCAGATGCCCCTCAGTAGATCAATGGATTAAGGAAATGTGGTACACACACACACACACGCACACGCACACGTGTGCGCACACACACACACATATATATGTACATAAAATTGAATTTTATTCTTTGCTTACAAAGAATGTCACCACCCCATTTGTTAGGAAACGGAAAGACCTGGAAAAATCATATTAAGTGGAGTAAGTGAGATCCAAAGAAAAAGACATCTCACGGTTTCCCTCACTTGCAATAATTACTATATAGCTAGGATAATTTTATCAGGTGAGCAGAAAACCTCTCAAGCTATTTACATATGACCATATAAGATGGTGTTAAGTGAAATGAACCCCAAGATATGGGCAAAAGTGATGTTTCTTTGTTGTAATTTTAAAGTACAATGTGATTTTTTGGTTTCCTTTCTATGTTCTTCCCCTGTTGTCACTGCATTTGATTTTGGTACCCTGAATCTTGTATATACATTTCTCTACTTTGGGGAGGGTAAGGGGAATAACAAAATATTGAAACAAGGACACCAGAGGACCCACTGCAACAATGATCCCCACAAGACAGTATATTGGAAATGAATGTTAAAACTTCAGGGTGGGGGGAGGAGTGAGGGAGGTGGAGGAGGAAAAGGATAGTGGGAGAACAACAAGGGAGGGGGTAACAATGCTCAACAAGAAATGTACTCATTACCTTACTCATGTAACTGTAACCCCTCTGTGCAGCATCTTTACAATACAATAAAATCAATTACTTGTTTGTTAAAGGTCAGGCCATGGTGCTCCTGTGACATTGCCTCCTACTGCATTTGTACAGCAGGGATTGGAGGATGACCCCAGCTTTTCTAGGCATTTGATGGGCAACTTTCATGATCACCCTGTGTTCTCATTCACTCAACTACACTGTCTGAAGGTAACTTAAGGAATTCTGTCCTAAGACAACAGTTATCGGTAGCTCTTAATGTGTGGTGATAAGCTCCAGACAGATGCCATGTTTGAGCTGAAGTGTCTCGTTCTAACTTGTAGAATGGGATAAGTTGGGAGGGAGGGAGAAAATAACTGGAAACATGCGAATGCTCACTGAAGGGTTAAAGTACTTGAGGCAGTGACCATTTGTTGCTCGTTTCAGAGCAGAGCAATACGTGGTGCTAATCCACCTGGTTGTATGCCTTTAGAAGACCTGCAAATCCTTAACTTGGGGCTCTCCTCCTAGGCTCCGCTGTGTCAGAGTGTAGGATGAGGCCCGAGCTGCAGCCCGCCTAAATAAAACCTCAAAACAGCTGTAAAGTTGACTCTCGGTGGTCTTCTTGGTGGGGGTCCTGCAACCTAGGCACAACACTCACTTCCCTGGCACCATCAGAAGCCAGGACTGCATTCACAGGCTAGGATAGCTAAGAGTCATTGGATGCAAATAAACTTTAGGTAATATAAACAGTCTGATCTATCTCAGAATGTTTATCATGCCTTCAGATATGAGGCATTGCAGAATGGCAAGATATTTCTCACACCTCCATTTTCTCATCCGTAAAGCTACATGAAGGGAGCTGGGAGCAGGGGTGCAGGCCCAGAGTCCCAGTTACTGGGGAGGCTGAGGCATGAGGATCACTTGAGCCAACTACATCAGGATCCTCCTGGTAAATGCAGTGAGAGGCCAATCTCTAAATTGAGTATGCAAATAAAGAAGTATACAGTAAAGACTTCAGCAACATGCTTCAATTCTGTAAGCAACTATTCACTTACTGGACAATGGAGGCAACACAAGTGGGACTACTTTCTAGTCTTTGCAAGCTGTCAGCTCTGCTGCACTGGGACAACTGGCTGTGTCCCTTGGGGTTTTCTCTGTTGTCACCCTTGTATACAATGGACACAGCCGGAAGTCTCCTTTTCATCAGGTTTCTCAGGAGTTACCATCTGTCCTTGGTCTCTAGGTGCACAGTCATTTGCATATACTGCTCCTCTTCTTGCTCTTCCAAAGTGGCAGACACCAGAGAAAGCTCACCCAACAGGGATACCAGCCAGGTCAGGCGAGAGATGCCACTAAACGCAGGAAAGCCAAACTGCCCTTCTTCCATTGGGCCAGCTGTGGGCAATCACAGGTGCTGTGAGGACTAGGAAGAAGAGAATATCTGAGAACAGGCAGGACCCAGGTGCATGGGAGAACACATGGACAGGGGGACCTTGCCTTACCATGCGGCTAACTGTAGCCTCACCACAGCAAGTCCCTTGTAGGTTTGAACTTCAATTTTGCTAGTAAAATTAGACATGCTACTGGCAATAGCACACAATTCAGCTACACACAATGATAACTTGTAGAATGGAATAAGCTTGGAGGGAGAGAGAAAATATAGTCAGTTTACCTGTCTACTTAGGTAGATACACACACACACACACACACACACACACACACACACACACACACACATTGCAGGGTGATCCCCTGTATTACAGATTGTAACCATTAATTCCCTGCTAGACATGGTACCCCCCCCCCCCCACCAAAAATAATGCCCACCAAGTTTCAAACATGCCACTGGGGAAATGTGGTCCTAGCTTCAAGCCTTCAAGTCTCCCAATATTCCAGACAAGAGGAATTGCCCAGGTTGAGGCAATGAGTCAGGGGACAGTTCAAGTCTTAAACTTTGATCTCTAGGAAGCCAGTTCCACAAAGAACCGAGCAGGAGACAATGTCGGAGTTCATGCTGGAATGATCAAATCTGATTTTGAGCTCAGATTCTAATTTGGGGGCAATGCATTCATCAAATGCTTCCTACATTTCTACATAATTATGAGGGTAGCTCGTCCATGAGGCAGTGCCCTTGTTCCATCTGTGTATCCCCCTCCCGGATCTCCCTTGGATCCATTCTGCATCCTGGCTCTTCTCCCAGAAGGCAGAGAAGAGGCAGCATCATGAATCTCAGGCTCCCAGCTGTGCCACCTGCTGGACAAGCCTTCTATGTCACTGGCACCCGAGGCTCCACACTCAGGCTTTGCCCTCCCCACAGGGGGCCACCCAGTCCATAGGAAGGATCTGCTATTTCACAGGAGCAGCAATGGCCTCCCCTTTCTCCTGCCCCACACCGCTAAGACAACTTGGTCAGTGGAGCGTGACTACTCTGCTAGGAAATATGGGAAGTTTCTCTCGTCCCACCTCTCCCATTTTCCTCTTGCTTTTTATTTACTTGGTTGCATTTTTAGCACGAGACATAGAAGAATACATCATGCTAGAAAGAACTGGAGCCTTCTTTCTAACTTTAATATGTTTAAAGAGCTCTCCATGAAATCCAAGGTTGTGCACATTTTTGGTAAACACTTCGTTTCTTTTCCTGGTTATTTAAAATGTCCTTTTTCTTCATAACTCAATAGCAATCTATCTAAAAGATTTTCCTGATATTAACAAAATTTTCTAAACATCACTGAAGGGAGAAATCCAAAAGTTAAAAAAAATCCCTATTACATACTACCAGAACAATTATGGTAAATTTAAATTTTTTTTAGTTGGATGGGGGCAAAAACTCTGGAGTTGCACATCTAAAGCAAATACCTCTGTACCTGTAGGTGTGAGATTAGAATTCTAATCTTGCTTACCCGAATATACGCATCTTGGTGATGTTTGGCGAAGTACAGCATGCTGTCAAGAGCCAGCATCCCAGGAGGAGTCTGGGTGAAGTCCATGGCAGGGTTGACATGATTCTGCAATAAAAATCAAGTACTAGGTGAGGTTAATTCTTCAGCAGACTTTGCCAATCACAGCAGGGGGAAAGACAGTGGAGGTGCACCTTGCCTACCTCAAGACTGAAGGTTAAGTTCCCAATGACCAACTATGTCAACCTATTGGGATGGGCGGAGGAACTTCTTCAAGCTCTATGGGCTCAGCAAAATCACTTTTTATAACCCAGGGCTGGAAACCCAGTTAAAGATCGAAACACAGGATCATCCTTAGTCACGTCACATTTCAAGGAAAAGAAAATAACACGCAAGTTCAATCTCCGGCAGTTGCATTGAAGTGAAGCCAGTGGCACAGGGCGAGAAATATCTGGGCTGGAGTGACTCTGCATCCATTTCAGGAGCTGACTGAAGGGAGCCATTACTCCCGGATCTGACCCATCCTCAGGCTTATGCATGAAGGTCGGTCTGGCCACGCCTATCCATCGGCTTTGTAAACTGTCTTGGAGACACAGTCCCCAGGCCTCTACAGGCGCTGGGCTCATGTCTGACCTGTGTAGTCTGCTGACACTAGCATGTTTCTGAGGATTGTGTCTGGCATGATGGACTCCACATATGGCCCAATGTTACCAATGTGCCTAACCAAAGAGCAGGCCTGGCTCAGACAAATATTTGTGTATGTATGACATTAATTGATCAATGAACACTATGATAGCTCTTCGGGCAAAAAACAGCTCTCTGCCTGGACACATCAAAACCAGTCACACCAAACACTGGACTGAAAATGCAGATCTGAACAGTGAATGATTGAGAGGAAGTCATGTTTTCCATTTTGGTTTTTTTTCCTGTTGAACACATGAAAAGAACATCCAAGTGGGGTGCTGTGGTATATTCCTGTAAGCCCAGCATGTGGGAGACTGAGGCAGACGGATGGGGAGCTCCATATCATGACAACCTGTGCCAGCAGAACAAAGGCTGAGGATGTAGCCTAGTGGTAGAAGAGCGTGCCTAGCATGCCCAAGGCACTGGTTCAATTCTCAGTGTTGCACAGAGTCAAAGGCAATTTGTTGTTGAGGACTGTAGGTAGAGATGCTACACATTTTTCCAATTTTATTTTCGTGTACAGATGCTGTACAGAGGGGTTACACTGATACGAGTAAGGCAATGAGTACATTTCTTGTTGAGCATTGTTACCCTCTCCCTTGTTGTTCTCCCACTATCCCTTCCCTCTCCCAACTCCCTCACTCCTCCCCTCCCCCCAAAGTTGTAAAGTTCATTTCCAATATACTGTATTGTGGTTATCATGGTTGCAATGGGTCATCCTGTGTCCTTGTTTCAGTGCTTTATCATATTGGACTTGTATCTAAGTTTGCTGAATTTATCTAGTAGTTCTCACCATTTATTTGGTGACATCATTAGGATTTTTCTGTACATAAAAGTGCATCATCTACAAATAACTTGACTTCCTTCTTTCCTGTATATATGACTGTCATTTCTTTCTTTTGTCTAATTGCTCTGACTTGTAATTCTAGCTCTATGCTGAATAGGAGCTGGGGGTGGGGAGGTATCGAATTTCACTACAAAAATAATAGCTATGTGTGATTAAGCATGTGTTAATTAAGTAGATTTAACTATTCCACAATGTTTATTTATTTCAACATATACTATACATGAGAATATCACACATGATATCTGTCAGTGTAAAAATATTTTTAAACTGTTCAACGATTATTAATGACTACTGCTTTCACCTCACAATCTTGAAAAGTTGCATATTTTCATTTTGACTCTTTATTACATTTTTAATAATCACTTTGAGTTCTTCTCACTCCTTTCCTCCCTCCCCACCTCCTTTTCTTTTATGCTGGGATAAATTCTAGTCTAACAGCATTTTTTTTCTTATTTGTGTACAGGAAGGCCTTCTTATGTAAGGTTCAAACCACCCACACTTTGCTATATTATTAAAGTGTACATCTAAACTATTTTCCTAAAGCTGATTTGAAAACTTGCTTATGAGCTGATAAATGACAGCTCCAGGCCACAGCTCCTGCTTTAAAACCACACAAGTTCACCACATCCAAACAGCACCAAAGTACTGAGTCCAATATGTTACATTTTAACATTTCCTCCTCAATCATTTATTAAAATGTTGGAAAGTTTTTAGAATACTCAAATACTATGACCAATGTGTGTGTGTGTGTGTGTGTGTGTGTGTGTGAGAGAGAGAGAGAGAGAGGGAGAGAGAGAGAGAGAGCGCATAAATCATATGGTGTGTCACATACAGTGTGTCACACAGTATGGTTCAGCTAGGTGTGACATGCCTCATTCACTGTGGTGAAGGACCAACTCCTATACTATAGCGGTAACAGGGGAAACAATATCCATGATTGGAAATGGACAACCAGAGAATTCACCACAAGAGCCATTTGTACTTAAATGATCTCCTAGGCAGAGTGATTTTGTAGAGTTTAGTGGAATTTCTCCCATTGTATACACACTGGATCTTGGAGGCATGAGATTTTCATCAACCTAAGTGACATAGAAAAGTTGCCTTTCTGGGCTGGGAAGGTGGCTCAGTGGTAGAGCGCTTGCCTTGCATGTCTGAGGCCCTGGGTTCAGTTCCCCAGCACCATATAAGCAAAAAGAAAAAAGCCGGAAGTGGCTCTGTGGCTCAAGTGGTAGAACGCTAGCCTGGAGCTGAAGAGCTGAGGGACAGCACCCAGACCCAGAGTTCAGGCCCCACGACCGGACCAAAAAAAAAAAAAAAAAAAAGAAAAGTTGCCTTTCTGAGGGCTTCCACTGCAGAGAACCTGACATGTGTGAAGTGTCAGAATAACGCAGCCACCTGGTCCTCTTGTGGTATCCACATGACTGACGAGGAAACCAAGTTCACCAGCTCCTGGACCTCCCTACTTGTCTGTGAACAAGTACACAGGACTTCTGTAGACAATGCATTTCAACCATCCATCTCCTGTTCCTACGTTTCCCCTTCCTACCAGTATGACAAGCCAGATGCATTTATTTTATTTTGGCACTGCCAACATTGGACTTTCATAGACCAACAAAAGTTTATTTGACATCAGCTAATCAATACGAGCCATCCTGAAGCACAGGCCAGCCAGTAAAGGAAAGGGCGTCAGACATAAAAGAGAAAACCGTGACATTTATTTCAGACCTACTGCTACTATCGATTTATCAATGTAATCCCAAAATAAATACACACGGAAATAAGGGGAGAAAAATTAATTTCTCTGAATCTAATTCCAACAACTCTCTTAAACACTAGGTAGATGAAGATGACCATGTAAAATCCCCATGGCTCAGGCACCATCAAACTTGTTTGAGTTTAGCATTTACAATCCCAGTGAAGACACCTTGCATCAATCACACCCATCCTTGGGCACCTGGGTGATCAAAGAAGTTACAACTGTTCTCCGCAGATCCTTCCAGTTAAAAACCAACATAGCTACAGGACTGTAAACATTCACATACAGCAAGACCAAAGGAGGATATTCTTAGGGGAGAGGAACTCAAAGGCACAATGCCTATGTATGTCTGATCATATAAAATCATATTTGTCGATGTGACCTCTAGAAAATGAAACAAGAGGTATTTTGTTGCTTTTTTGTTTTCTTTTCTTTTTGTCTTGTTTCTTCATTTGGGAGGGTAAGTGGAGAGTACAGAAATAGAAGGACAAAAGGTGAACAAATGGGGCAGTGGTACTCACTAGACACTATGTTAAAAATGAACTATACAACCTGTGGATGGGGATGGAAGGGAAAAACTGGGAAAGAGCAAAGGAAGGGGTGACAATGTCCCAAAAGAAATGTACTCATCACCTGACCCATGTAACCGTAACTCATCTGTCCATCAGCTTTATGGTAACAATTTTGAAAAGGAGGAAAAAGAAAACCATAGTGCAGTGCCTTAGGATCTGTGGAGAAATGGATCCAGGATCCTGCATGCGTTATCAAAATCTCATGATGCTCAAGTGCCTTCTCTATAATAGCAAAGCATCTGCACACATCCTCCACATACTTTACTTATTCATTATTCTTAATTATCTTTAAGAAGTTGTAGCAAGGGTTTCAATTCCACCATGTTCTCTACACCTTTGCTCGATTCCCAATGGATGTCCAATATAACATGAGTGCTGTGTAGGTAGCTGTTATACTGTACAGTTGAAGGAATGAATGATGGCAAGCAAAGAACCTGTACACTTTCAGTCCAGATGGAATTCCTTTCAAATACTTTTCAATCCCTAGCTGGTTGAATCTGTGGGTGAGAAACCCACAGATGCAGAAGGCCCCCTTTAATTGATGTGTAAGGTCCTCATCCTCAAGTTAGTAAGTGGAGCTACTAAAATTGTGTCTATGATGTGGCAGGTATTATGTAAAGTGTCTTGCATATTCGAACCCTTAGGCCTCATCAAATGCTCCCAGGATCAACATGAACTTTCTCTTCCTTTCCCAACAAGAAAACTGAGCCAGCCAGGCACCGGTGGCTCATGCCTGTAATCCTAGCTACTGAGGAGGCTGAGATCTGACAAAGCCAGCCCAGGCATGAAAGTCCATGAGACTCTTATCTCCAAAAAACCACTAGAAAACCGGAAGTTGTGCTGTGGCTCAAGTGATAGAGTGCTTGCCTTGAGCTGAAGAGCTGAGGGACAGCGCCCAAGCCCAGAGTTCAAGTCCCACGACCGACCAAAAAAAAGAAAGAAAGAAAGAAAGATAGAAAGAAAGAAGAAAGAAAGACAGAAAACTGAGCCATTTGGAGTTCCTGTAGCTCATTCAAAATTTCAAAGCTGCTTAATGTGTATAAAACCAGCAGGAATCATAATCAGAGGGTAAACTCAGAGTGCAGATTTTGAAGCAGAATTTTGTAGCATCTGATTGACCAGTTGGAATTCCCAGCAAATTTCAAACAAACATCAGACTCAAGTTCTAGCTCAGTTTGAACTGCTCAGTCAACAGCATTGTGTCATGCAGAGTAAGCCTAGATCTGTCCTTTCTAATCAAAGCTGTAAT